AGTTTTGACTTAAGAAGTTACATAATTTACAAAGGTAATTAACATTTTAATTATAATACAATCTTAAAGTTAATTACTTTACAAGTTTAATAATAAACATCGAATGAAACTAATTAGAGAGACATTTAAAGAGGCGGAAATCATACTAATATTATAAATGCGAATGTTTGTTTGAATGTATCTACAAAACGGCTGCCTGGAAGAACACATAGACTACTAATTAAGTTTTTTTTAAATTCCTAAGACGAAGTCACGTACGACAGCTTATGGTACATAATATACGAAGAAAATAATACTGGCATTCAGAAAGATTGTTTTTCAAAATGATCTTCCAAATTGTACACAAAATATTAACAACGGCTTCGAAGTCCTTAGTCTTACGATTATCTGGCCATCATGTGCTTAGAACTCCCGAAATCTTTACCAAACCGTAGGATACACAACAAATTCATTCATATAAGTGGTGTTTTGGACTTTATCACTGCTCTGTGGCAAGTTTGCACAGCTGATTAGGGCCGATGCAGACGAGTGCGATAAGAGCCGGCCTTCACTCGATACGTGATGATACCACACGCAAGTTATGAATAAATTCACAATTAATATTATTAAATTACTAGTTGATTAATCGTTAGAATTAAAACAAACGTAATAAGCTATGTGTTCTTCCAGACTATGTTCTACATCTTTGCCAAAATTCAGATCCGTGAAGATATCTTCTAACAAACATCCATCCAATCACATTTATTTTAGTAAGATAATAAGATATTCTTTATCTCAAATGGATTCGCAAGAAAATTAAAACATAAAGGTTGTACTGAACATGTAACCGAGTCTAATTCGGTCTGACAAAAGAGACCACAGTAACGTACGCTCATAAATTAAAGATGCAGTTAAAAACGTAACTCTTGCACAGATTGTCTGATGAGTGACGTCATTCATGAAGACAACGAGCCAATAAGAGTCAAATATCTATTAGAACAGATAAAACAACTCGATAAACATGAACTTTATCTAAACCTACTAACCTTTTGACCGTCTTTTGATTTACAAAATTTTCTATCTACGACATTCGGAAATAATTAAATTTCATATCTTCTAGATAACTGTGTGTCTCCACCTAACCTACTAAAACGTTTAGTGTTATCAAATCGCTGGGCGAGTTTAATTTCATACGGAAATAATGTGTCTCTGAAAGTGTTAATCTTTTGAAAGCCAGTAGACATTGACCATTAGACCAAACTATCTATACTTTTGCTACTGTATCATCTAGTAGAAAAACCACAGCCTAATTTTCAAGGATTAATAATAATTGCTTGTCTTTATTTAAGCAAGTAATGTAAGCTGTTTGTACAAACAATGCATAGGATTAGACGTACACAAGGCGAGTACAGTCACGCACACAGGGCACTTCGTCACAATAAATCCGGATGCAGAGTCTCACATCTGCCAGCCCCCGATCCCGACGAGACGGCCCCGAACATGCCCGCCAAGGTCACCATAATATGTAATTATAGTGGACATAACCAAAAAAATTAGTAACCAAACAGTCCACGTTAAAAACATTTCTAATCGAAACCGAGAAAAGGAAAAATGAAGATTCAGTTTTATTTTATTAAGTGCGATTTAGGTATATCTATTTTGCTTTTTAAATCTCATTTATTAACAGTAATAGGATAAATATATACTTTCGCAAAACAAGCTGACTATGCACCTGTAAACTAAGGATTTTTACTGTTTGTAAATTGAAGAATAAAAAAAAAGTAAAAAAACTAAAAGGACTTAAATGTAAAGGTAGTTTTTAATTGAGTTTAGATGTATTAAGAAATACATTCTCTATTTGAATTTTAACTAAAATGAATTTTTTGCAAGTCATATTTTTTGTTCACAAAACTAGAAAAAACCCATGGTCACCGTAGCAAAGTAGCAGCAAAAAAAACTCGGCCATCTGCCCCGCACGTGGGGCCCGTTTTCGGGACCACTCGAGGGGTCTATGGGAACCCGGGTACGTCGAATGCGGGCATTTCAATGGGGTAATTCAATTTTAGGATGCGGAGGCCCAATGATTTTGTGTTTCATTTGATTACTCGTGTGAAAAACGTTTCCGGACTTTCGTTTAACGTTAGATTGTATGTTAATGTTACTAACCAAATATTAAGTTAATTAAAAGATATACAAAACAGTCAAGTTACGTTAGTTTCTAAAATATAAATAGCTCTTTGCGTTGCCTTCAATGAGAAAGTCCACTGGATATCTCAGTAATATGCGTATGCATGGGTGGATGGTGTTTGAAGGTATCTCCAGAACGAATGCATGGCCTTTTAGCCTTGGCTACTATTAAGTGCATTTTCAAATTAAATATTGCCAAAGACAATACTTGCATATAGGGTATTGGTGTACAGCAAAGACATCGTATAACTAATCTCGTCAAACAATTACAAATTCCTTGCAACGTCGAACCCCAACCAAAAGCATACAAAACATACCATAGATGGGGCTTCGTAATTTCAATAACATTATTACTGTGGCCGATCAGTACGGAATGCATACTCCTATCCATCACTACACTGTGACACAAAACCTAGCTAATATGGGCGTAGAATTCCGTAGGTACTGCAAAACTTAATTTCATAACGCTGCTCTGTGGCGTGGTATGTTACAAAGGAGGTTAGTTATGAGACGATGATTAATTATCTACTAACCAGCGTAATCTGTGTGTCCGTACAATCCCTCATACTGTACAGACGGGCCTGTGGCATAAAGTAGTAAATAGCTAATATTTTAGTTAATATTACTACCAAAAATATATTTTAATAACTATTATATCATCCTTGTTCCGTTTTACAATCTTATTGCAGCACATGGTGACAGTCTCATCATCCGCTCACGATAGGCCACACTGAGGCGCTCGGAACCTACCCTAATTTAGGCCATAGTCAACCACGCTGCCCAAGTGCGGGTTGGTTGACTTCACACATATCTGAATTTCTTCGCAGCAGCGAATTTCTGCAGGTTGCATCACGATGTTTTCCTTCACCGTAAGAACGTCGTATAAATGTACATATGTAAATTGAAAAACATTGATACATGGTTGGATTCGAACCCAGGACCTGCAGATTACGAGCTTAAACCTCTAGCCATCGACGACTCGTCTTTCAAGTCTACCATAGACTAAATCGCCAATCAAACATCCTACCTGAATATAGCCTATCTCAAACCTTTGACTTGGATTCATGAAAGCTAGAAATCCAATCTGTAACCACAAAGGCAATCGATTACAGGCAATCACTTCTGCATATTGCAGAGATTCATCTTACCTTTGGAATCATAAATCTGAAACATCGATTAGATGACGTTTAGCATGCATTTCCACTGCCGAAACTCATGCAAAAACATATGGTCATCTCTGTCCATTTTCTCAAAGGGAACGAGATAGGCGTGTGTTATTTCAGTGAAAACTCAAGTCTGTAGTTTCCATAAAAAATACTGAAGTTTGTATCACCCGCGACTCCGTCCGCACGGAATCAAAAAACTTAATTTGCCTATGATTTTATTTATTTAATTTTAGTTTTATTCCTCCAGAGTACGTTCTACATCTATCCCAAATTTCAGCGAGACCCTTGCAGCCGTTCTGGAGATAACTTCTAACAAAAATCCATCCATCCAAACATTCGCATTTATAATATTAGTAAGTAGTAAGATGTGGTTACATTACTTGAAGTTTTGAAAGCATCTGGGTCATATTTCAAAAGTTACCAAAGCTTTAGATTGTAGTATCAAAGCTCTCCTCACATTTTTCTTCATTAAACTTCAATATTAAGCGACGAAACTATTTCGCTTCAAAGATTCTTTACACGAAGTTTGGTATTAAAATTGCTTTGTATAAAGGGCTTATTTCAGTATTTACCATTGTTGGTTTCTGAGACCAAAACACTCCGTATAAAGCATATCGTTATCCCTGTCATTATCTTTGACAAAACAGAGATAACAGTATGTTTTAAACTGAGATTTTGGTGTCAGAAACCCACATTTAGGGACCTTAGTTTGTGATCAAAAATTGATTTACGTTTTTACATATTATTTGCATTAATAACTTTACTGTTACCCTACAAAATTAGGACAAAGATCTGTCCAATACCTTCCTACCGAAATCAAATAATTATAAAACATATGACTATTAAAAAACGTAAACTATGTACTATGTAAATTCGTTGATCATTTCAATTTCCCATCTTGAAACCAAACAATACACAAAGAGAACAACGCAAATCACAATTGCAAACGCTACCGTTGGTAATTAAAAATATTGCCAAGTGTACCCAATTAGCGGCAACGTGGTACGCGACAAAAATAACCAATAGTACGATTTGCAAAGATAAGCCGGTACCACTCACAAAACCACGGGGGAGGGGAGGAACTCGAGATGAGTCGGGACCCCCAGACTGGGGGACTGGAACTGGGGGTCGTGACGAGGCGGGAATCGATTTTTTTGACGTCTGATATTACCTACAATAAAGGGCATAGTTGTGATTGGTAGTTGTACTAAATAAGAATGATTGCTCAAGCTTTGCATTTTGAATACCTAATTCCAACGTTTACAAACATAATTTACTCACTTTATAAGATACTTGGACCAAAACAATGTATACGTAGATAAAAGTCTTAAATAGTAAAGAAATTTGAAAGACAAAAAAATATTGCAAATAATTCACTGCATTTTTATTAAAGTCATTCGAAATCATTGCAAAACCACAGACAAAAAACAAATTAAACTCGTAATGCTCGTAATGCTGTAATCATTGAATTGCACATTGAGGTAATAACAGCATCATGTAATTATATATTTATAATTTATAGGTTACCTACTTATAAATTTTGTATAAACGCACTAAATGCCTATCTACAAATTATATTTGTGTCGTATCATTACTATCTCATAAACAATATTTATCAAACACAAAATTACGTAAATTTTAGATAAACTGTAAATTAAAATCACTCACCGAATATATGAGGAATACGTGTTTCTGTTCAAAAATTCATATCTCCGCCATTTTCACAGATGTAAGAATGAATAAATTTAATAATAGACTGAACAATCAAAAAAACCTTGACCTCGATACAAATTTTTTATCTTTATTTCTAGGTTAAAACACTTCTGTTTGAATACAACATATTGAATGCGAAACTAAGAAATTACCAAATTACGCGAGCAGATTATTTAAACGCACAATAAAATTATGAAAGCAAAATAACGCAAAAATTGATCTCACTCAACTGAACTGACATTAGTTTGAATGAAACAAAATGAATGACTGACAGAATTAGATGAAGGGAGGAGGGAAATTGGACGGTTGACTACTCAGCGTTTAAGCGCTGACGAAATGTTTTGTTCATTATGTTTGGAAATCTCAATCCTTTACAAATATCGTTACC